GGTGGGCAGCTCTGGGGAGAAAGGACCTGGTGGGAAGCAGGGTGACCCTGAGCCCCTTATGTCCTGGTGGGCAAGGAGGCCCATGGGCTCCTGGGGGGGAATCAAGAAAAGTGTGGACAGCAGGTTATGGAAGTGCTCCTGTCCCTCTGCTCTGCCCTGGGGGGAGACACAGCTGGAGAACTGGGACTAGTTCTGGGCTCCCCAGTTCATGAAGGACAAGGAGGAACCAGCCTCAAGTTGTGCCAGGGGAGGTTGAGGTTGGATCTGGGGAACAATTTCTCCCTGGCAAGGGTTGTCAGGGCCTGGCCCAGGCTGCCCAGGGCAGGGGGGGAGTCCCCATCCCTGGAGGGGTTTCCAAGCCCTGGAGATGGTGCTGAGGGACATGGGGCAGGGGTGGCCTGGGCAGGGTTGGGGGAAGGGTTGGGCTGGAGGATCCTCAAGGGCTTTCCCTATGAAAATAATTTGGATGTAGCTTTATTAATACAAGCTGCCTGACAACAGTGGAAATGTCTCCAGTTCACCAAATGATCAGTATGGTGCTGGTGATGTCACCTTATGGAGCAGCCAAAAGAAGAAGCCTCCATGTCCCAGGGGTGGCTGTGAAATGGGCAGAACATTCCTCAGCTCATCTGTGCCAGCAGCTCTTCCAGTTCTGGCCGAGACTTCAACCTGCTCTTGAAATCAGCTTCTGTGTGCTGTGGAGGGAGGGGAAGAAAATAACCAGAATAATCTCTTGAATACTCTTTGAAATCAAGAGAAAAACAAACCTTCTCCCAAAGGGAAACACTTCAGAGTAGAAAAATTAAAGACTTAAATGTCCACTGAGCCCAGGGAAAGCCCTGTGGAAAGTCACTGTGGGCTGGGATCTCGTGGGCAGCTCAGCCTGGCAGGGGGTGGCAGAGCTCTGAGCCTCCTCTGCCATCCAGACTCTGGAGCAGCTGCTGGGGGTGAAGCACAGAGGGCAGCAAGGCAGGGTGGCAGCCACAGACACCCCTGGGTACTGTACAGAGTCTTGTGGACTCCTCCTCACCTGGCTGTTGGAGGAGTGAGCTCAACAAGTCAACTGGACACCCTCAGATCTGCCACTGCCTAGTGCTGTAGCATCTTTCTTGAGGAGACCTGCCACTTCCTCCAGAACTTGGCTGGAGCATCCCCAAGCTCTCATCTCTCTTCTGCTCTGCCAGTATGGGTCTCTCCACAGGGCTTCTGGCATCACAGAATCATGGAATGGTTTGGGTTGGAAGTGGCCTTAAAGATCATCTAGTTCCAACCCTCCTGCCATGGGGAGGGACACCTCCCACCAGCCCAGGCTGCTCCAAGCAGCAGGGCTTGAACAACCTTCCTGTGCAACCTGGGCCAATGTCTCACAGCTAAGAATTTGTTCCTCATGTCTAGTCTAAAACTCCCCTCTTCCAGTTTGAAACTGTTCCCCCTGCTCCCATCCCTCCCTGCCCTTGTCCCAAGCCCCTCCCCAGCTTTCCTGGAGCCCCTTCAGGCACTGGAAGCTGCTCTCAGGTCTCCCTGGAGCCTTCTCTTCTCCAGGCTGAACACCCCAACTCTCTCTCTCAGCCTGCAATGACTTTGCAGGTGGCACAAGGTCACAGTCCTCCCTCCAGAGACAAAGTCATCAGCCGAGAATTAGAAAAGGAAATAGAAGCCCTAGGGCAGAGATGGAGCTGTGACCAAAGCAGAGGAGATTGCTGGACTCAAGAGACCTTTTCCCATACTCCTGGCTTTGCAGAGCTGGAGATAACTAAACATTCTTCAAAGGCTACTTAAGGAGCCAACTGTGTTTTCATGTTTGAATTTACTGGGCTGCCTTCCCTTTCCAGCTACAAAAATCTGAGTCCCTGAAATAAAAAGGACCTTCTGGGACTATTCTGTCTGACTGTAAAGTGACAGAAGTTTAAATCTCCTTATGTCTGGTCCACCAGTGAGTGGAGTTCTGCTCTGATGTCCTCAAAGCTGAGAAAACTGTTGGGCCCTTCTGCAGAAAACAAGCTGAAGCCCTTCCAGAACAAAGTCCATCAAAACAGAGGACAGCATTTGGGTTTCTAGTCTCTCCAGCTGCTTCATGAAGTTCCTGGTGATTCCCTGATGGGTGAAGTGCTGCTCAAGGAAAAGGTTCCCGTCTGCATCACGGGGAATCTGCAGCAGCAAAGAAAAGCAACTTGCAACCTGCCATCTCCTGTGGATCTAGGGGACTGGCTGGGAAGTGATCTTCTGTGCACTAACTGTAGGAGGATAAATGGAAAATGAAACACTCACAAGAATTTAAGATCATGGGATTTGATAGACCAAGTGAGGGCCTGGTTCTGGGAGGTCCAGGAAGTTTAGGCACCTGCCTCAGGCCCAGGTTTGTATTTTCAAAGCAAATTTGTGTCATGCACTGAATCTGCTTCCTAAATGCAAAGGCCTTGATAACATGACACCTACCTCTTTCACCAACAGATGGACCCCTTCGGGTTGGTTGCTCTGAATGATTTCCAGGAGGATCGGAGCAAACGTTGAGCTCAAACCACTGATCTGGAAGAAGAAATGAAAGTGCTGCAGGAGCAGAGCACCACATCCAGCAGGGACTCATTATGACAAGGGGGAATGGATTAAAACTGGAGGAGGGGAGATTTAGGCTGGACATTAGGAAGAGATTCTTGAGTGTGAGGGTGGGGAGAGCCTGGCCCAGGTTGCCCAGGGAAGCTGTGGCTGCCCCATCCCTGGCAGTGTTGAAGGGCAGGTTGGATGGGGTTTGGAGCAGCCTGGGCTGCTGGGAGGTGTCCCTGCCCATGCAGGGGGGTTGGAACTAGATGATCTTTAAGGTCCCTTCCAACCCAAACCATTCTGTGAGTAAATCTGGCTGAAACACAGAACTCAGGAACCCCTCTGCTTCTACTTCTCAAGTAACCTTTAACAATAAATCTAATTAAGACTTTGTTGTGCTTCAATTTATGCCTTTCATTTGTTGAAGGGACTGAACTCCCATTTTTCAGGAATTTTGAAAGCCTGAGATAGGAAACAGCAGCTCCTACCTGGACAACCCTCTGATGGGTAGTGAGGATGGCATCCAGCTGCATTTTGGAACCTCTCTCTTCCAAGTAGAACAGTTCATTGGTTTTGGTGGGCATGGCGTAGCTGCAGGAACCACAGGTCAGAGCTTAGGACAGGGAGGATAGATTTGCACTACTTCACAGAATGAATCAACCTCCAGCAGCACAGAATGTGGAAGGAGATGAAATTTTCATGAGAAATTAATTATGCAAACAATGTATCTTGCAAATCAAGCACTGGCAGAGGCCAGGTGTTTTACTGGAAGGAGGTAAAGGAGAAGCTTGCAGAGCTACTGCCAGCAAAAGCCTGGTTCAGCTACAAACACCAGCCTGAGAACTCTTCCCTTTCTTTCCAGTTGAAGGAGAGCTTTAAAGCAACAGTTCTAACTGAATTTGTAATCTGTTAATCAGGAATAGAGCTAAAATCAAGTGCTGCAAAGCACCAGTCAAAAGACATCATTTTCCTCTCTGGATTTAGCAGGAACATGATCAGGCTCTGCTCTCTGGCTGGCATTGCTCCAGAGAACTCCACATCCCCAGCTGCACAGCATCACTACCAACAGGCTCCAGCCTGCTCCCCACCTTCTGCACTCTAATTTTTGCTCTTAAAAGCTAAATAATTTCTTTCTGTACATACTGATCTCTGCATCCCAAGTCTTTACTGGTATTGGACCTTTGTTGAATGAGTTCAGTGCATTTGGGAATGACAGGTTTGAATTTCCTGGTCACTGTTTCTAAAACCTCAATCATACTAAGGCTTCTCCAATCTCTGTTTTGTGTAAGTAGGAATAATCAGGTAACTCACAGGGTAAATTGTCCCTAAACTTGTATTTTGGTGGAATGTTCCCTCCTTCTGGAGAGACCTCATGGCAGCCTTCCAGTGCCTGAAAGGGCTCCAGGAAAGCTGGGGAGGGACTTTGGACAAGGGCTTATATGAAAGGACATGGGGTGATGGATTAAAGGGGGAAGAGGGGACATTCAGGTTAGACATTAGAAAGAAATTCTGTGCTGTGAGGGTGGGGAGAGCCTGGCCCAGGTTGCCCAGAGAAGCTGTGGCTGCCCCATCCCTGGCAGTGTTGAAGGGCAGGCTGAATGAGGCTTGGAGTAGCCTGGACTGCTGGGAGGTGTCCCTGCCCATGCAGGGGGTTGGGGCTGAGGAATTTGAACTAGATGATCTTTGAGGTCCCTTCCGACTCAAACAGTCTGGGATTCTAAGATCTGTTCAGTCAGTGCTTGAACAACTGCATTTCAGCCTTCCCAATACCAATGAAGCCTGCAAAACTGAACAGACAGAGCAAGAGAGGACCAAAGGACAGAGCACCAGGGAGATGACAGAAGAACTGGATTTACATGAGAGAATCTATCAGAGAGATCAGATTGTGCTTTTATCCTCAAGGTATCAAAGACATTGAAGAGCTGAAGTGTGTCCAGAGAAGGGCAAGGGAGCTGGGGAAAGGGCTGGAGCACATGTCTGATGAGGAGCAGCTGAGGGAGCTGGGGGTGTCCAGCCTGGAGCAAAGGAGTCTGAGGGGAGACCTGCTGGCTCTGCAGCTGCTGAGGAGGTTGGAGCCAGGGGGGTTGGGCTCTGCTCCCCAGAAACAAGCGACAGGACAAGAGGGAACAGCCTCAAGTTGTGCCAGGGGAGGTTGAGGTTGGATCTGGGGAACAATTTCTCCCTGGCAAGGGTTGTGAGGGCCTGGCCCAGGCTGCCCAGGGCAGGGGGGAAGTCCCCATCCCTGGAGGGGTTTCCAAGCCCTGGAGATGGTGCTGAGGGACACGGGGCAGGGGTGGCCTTGGCAGGGCTGGGGGAAGGGTTGGACTGGAGGATCTGAAAGGTCTTTTCCAACCCAAACAGTTCTATGATTCCATTCTATGCCCCCAATGCCAGGTGGCTGCAAGGGATGACAAGCAGAGCTGTGCTCCTCTCACCTTTCGTTCACTCTGATGCGGAGCCGGTTGCAGAGTTTATGCACATACCGAGCAAAGTGCTCCACCAGACACATGTCATAGGAGGTCATCTGGATGTTGACATCTCCATACTCATGTTCAGTCCCAACATTTATCTCTTTCATCTGTACTTTATCCTTTTTCTTCTTTGGAACCTGTTATTATAAAAGAATGAGAAAACAGAAAGCACAGCTGCTTGGAGCAAAACTGGAAATAAAAGGTGTTAACTCCTGCCCACCCAGGGGACCATGCCAGGATATTTTCTTGGGACAAAAGTTTCCTGAACTATGTTGAACAGATCCCAGCTTGTCAGACCACACCTGAAGTGCTGTGTTCAGTTTTGATCCCTGCTCTACAAGGGCAGGCTAGAGAGGGTCCAGAGCAGGGCCACAAGGATGATCAAAGGACTGGAGGACCTGGCAGATGAGGAGAGGCTGAGAACACTGAGTTTGTTCAGCCTGGAGAAGAGAAGGCTTCAGGGAGACCTTATCACCATGTTCCAGTCCTTAAAGGGTGGCTGCCAAGAAGATGGAGACTCCCTATTGACAAGGAGTCCCATGGAAAAGACAAGGGGTCATGGGCACAAGTTGCTCCTGGGGAGATTCCCATTGGACACAAGAGGTGAAAGTTTCCCCATCAGCACAGTCCAACACTGGAATTGTCTCCCAAGGAAAGTGGGACAATGTGGGTAGATTCCCCCACATTGGGCAGTTTGAAGTCTCATCCTGACACCTCGTATCAACTGCAGTAGTACCTGGAAAGGTTGGACCAGATGGTCCTTCAGGTCCCTTCCAACCTGGCATTCTGAGATTCTATGACTCTATGATCTGCACTCACTGTCCCCAACTACAGAACTGGGATGACATTATCTAACAGATATTCTCCAGTTTAACAGTTCAGTTCTTGAATGGCAGTACCACAGAAGTCACAGAGAAAACACGTGCATATCATGATTAATTTCTTCCAGAAGAAACCAAGCAGTAGAAAACAAACTTTTTAATTTCAGTTCCTGCCTTCCAGGCAGCTGCCTAGATGAGATATTGTTTCCTCCTCCCACAAAGTTTGTTCTCTTTCCAAATTTCAGGGAACTGTGTAAAAATGAAAATAAGACCTGCTTACAATATCCTGCAATAATTTGAAATTTGGGTCTTAAAGTCAGCATCAGGAAGAGATTTGCCCCATCCCTAGATGTGTTCAAGGGCAGGTTGGATGGGACTTGGAGCAACCTGGTCTGGTGGGAGGTGTCCCTGCCCACGTTGGGTTTGGAACTAGATGATTTTTAAGGTCCCTTCTAACCCAAACCATTCTATGATTCTGTGATTCCTCCCTCCCCAAATCACTTATTAAGCTAAAAAAGAACACACTGGACAAGAAAGTGTTTATGCTTGAGTTGGGAGCGGGTACTTCATGTGACATAACACTACCAAGAAAAGCAGCAGTAAACCATTACATTATTCCTTTTTGATATGATTCATCAGCCATTCAACATTTAAATCAGGCTGTGAAGAGATGAGTCAGCTGAAAGCAGGCAGAGCAGGGGAGCTGTGATGCCTACCTCCTTGGGGAGCAGGTATTTAAACCTCCCGATCCCGTGCGTAGGTCGGGATTTGTAGTGTCTGTGGCAACTCACGAGTGCATCACCTGAAACCAAAGCAGAATCAACACGTTTCCAGCTGAACAGCAGAACAGCCCTTCACTCAACAAGTATCTGGGTGTTTCCAAAGCCCAAAATCCACAGTGGAGGCAAGGATTTGTCCTCAGCTTTTTTTGATGGGAGGGAAAGGCAAGGTGGGTGTCTGCCTGTGCAGCACAGCAAACCCTGCCAGGGAGAACCACCAGGCTGACAATGTGGGGGCTGAAAGGGACCTTTAAAGGCCATCTAGCCCAGCCCCCCTGCAGTGCACAGGGACCTTCTTGACTAGATCAGGTTGCTCAGAGCATTCTCAAGCCCAACCTTGAGTGTCTCCAGGGATGGGGCCTCCACCACCTCTCTGGGCAACCTGTTCCAGAGCTTCACCACCCTCAGTGGGAAGAACTTCTTTCTTCCTGATACCCAACCTGAATCTCCCCTGCTCTAGTTTAAGGCCATTGCCCCTCATCCCTCCCTGCCCTTGTCCCAAGCCCCTCCCCAGCTTTCCTGGAGCCCCTTCAGGCACTGGAAGCTGCTCTCAGGTCTCCCTGGAGCCTTCTCTTCTCCAGGCTCAACACCCCAACTCTCCCAGCCTGGCTCCAGAGCTGCTCCAGCCCTCCCAGCATCTCCGGGGCCTCCTCTGGCCTCTCTCCAACAGCTCCATGTCCTTCCTGTGCTGGGGACCCCAGAGCTGTTCCCAGCCCTGCAGGGAGGTCTCAGCAGAGCAGAGCAGAGGGCAGAATCCCCTCCCTGGCCCTGCTGGCTACACTTCTTGTGATGCATCCCAGGACACAACTGGCCTCTGGGCTGCAAGTGCACACTGCTTCCTCATGTAAGTCATAGTTGGTTCAGGTTGGCAGTAAGGAAGGAAGAGCTTAAAAGTGACTAATTTCCCAAACAAGCCAAGACTTGTCAGCACAGGTGGATGCTGAGGATACTGATGAAGTGTTACATCTGTCTCCTCTTGTGTGACACACTAGTGTGATGGATCTGAGCCCCACTTAATTTTCCATCCAGTCTTGTTCAAATATTCATGTGCTAAGAAGCCAAATCAAAAGGATATCAGCTTTATCCTTCCTTCTCCAGGGTACAAGAAAACCCTCAGTAACCCTCATTTTAATAAATGAAGCTCAAAACAGCAAAGAAAAACTAAAACACCAAGGATCTAAGCCACTCAGTTACATTTTGCCTCCATATCAAAATCTGATTTAAATGTGACAGCAACTCCAGCAGCTCAATAAATGTTAAAATGGCACCTCAGGGGGGTGTAACTCTGTTCCTGGACACTAATATAGCAAATGGCACCCAGCTGGTGTCACTCCAAGAACAGGGAAACAGAAAAAAAGGGTTAGAAAAAAAGGCATGGAGGTGGAAGAGCTCAGGTTTAACGAGCCCAGTATTGGCTAAAAAAACTTAAAAGGAAACAAAAATGCTGAAATGGGTAATGTTTATTTGGGGTAAATGAAGTTCTGCTTTGCATTGAGTTAATAAGAGGCCTTACCTGCAGCACCCAGAAGGCCTTCTCTGCGTGTTGCTGCACTGTAGGAAACAAAGAGCATCATTAAAAGCTCTGATTTCACCCACTGATGAAAACGCACCAGTATCTGGCCACTGCTCCTAAACAAAGGCTGACTCTTCAAGTCCCTCAGACACAGACAGGTCCTGTCAGCAAAGAGACTTTCTTTTCTCCACCCCCTACAGCCCCTTCAGCTTCATGATTTTGGTTGGCAAAAAGTTATTTTGTCATAATTTATATGTTTTCTGACACTGTCAGAAGAAGTTTTCTACTTTCAGTAGTTTTTCATAGAATCACAGGACAGTTCAGGTAGGGACGGGCCTTCCAAAGTCATTTAATCCAACCCCACGTGCAATGAGAAGGGGCTCAACTGCAAGTGGAACAGGTTGCTCAGTTGTATGCTCAGATTTTGATGCACACACTGTGTTTTACACACTGATTTCAGACAACTCACCTGCTGAGCACAAGCACCTGCTTCAGCCATGCTCCCTTCCTCAAGCACAGCACCTGCAATGAGCCACCACAGGCAAAATGCAAACAGGATGGCAGATCTCAGCGAGTTTCCAGCAGCACTTCCCAGAACACAGCCATGGGAACAAGACTTGAGACCCTCTAAATGTACCAATAACCCTCCCAACCTCTCCACAGCCTCCAGCCACTGTCACTTCCCAGAATATCACCACAACACAGAAGAAAGGGGGGAAGGAGGAGGAAGATCATGGAATGGTTTGAGTTGGAAGCGACCTTAAAGATCATCTAGATCCAACCCCCTACATGGGCAGGGGCTGCAGGAACATTCTCATGCACCTCCTCACTTTGCTTCAGGACCCAACATGCTGGAGACCCTCCTGCCCTTGCTTACAGATTATATTCATCCTTCACACCATCCCACCCCTTTCAGGTTTCAACAGCTGCACCAACCACCCTTGTGCTTGTTCCAGCTCCGCGCAGATGGAAGAAAATACAGTTCATCCATTACCAAAATAAAGCAAAGAGCTTGGGCTGTCACAACCCTCTCTCTGGTCGCTACCCATGTCCCCAAAGAGTGATGAGCAGAGAGAACCAGGGATCAGCAGGTTCCCAAGGGATGTGACAGGACGGGACAGGGACCTTGTGCCACTGGAGGGGTCCCTGGGTGCCTGAGGTGCATTCAAGGCAAAGGAAGGAAGGCAACCCAGGGCATTAACTCGGGGTCCGGCCTGTGTCTCCACAAAAGACACTCTCTTCCCCACCAAAAAAAAACCAAACCCAGAGCCAGGTCGAGCTTGTCCCCTCCTAAAAGTGAGGCTGGACCAGGCCCTCCCCAAGGGCCAAGCCTGTCCCTCCTGACCCCTGCCCCAGGCCTGTCACTTCCCCGAGGACGGGCCTGTGACCCCCCT